TTGTTTTCTGATCTCGGCACTTGGGTCAGATGGAAATCCTCAAGGGAGCCGACTGCTTGTCGGACCGCCTGTAAATATTTGATCATGGCCGGATGGGTTGCTTCGTATTCGCCATTGTACTGACTCACTATCAATTGTGAATCGGAACAGGCGTCTATTTTTCTTGTCCCTGCCGCCTTGCACATGCGGATATCGGCTAGTAAAGCTTCATATTCTGCCTCGTTGTTTGAGGCCTGAAAACTGAAGCGTAAAGCATACTCTTACCTGTCGCCCTATGGCGACTGACATATGACGCCTGCTCCACAACCATTTGAAGTAGAGCTTCCGTCCACATATACCTTCCAGACTTGGTCTGTAACTTGAGAGTCAGGAGGACGAGTCATCTCAACAATAAAGTCAGCAAAGGCTTGCCCCTTCACTGCTTTTCTAGGCTCGAAAGTAACTTCGAGGCTCTGTATTTATATGGCCCATTTGATCATTCGGCCTGACGACTCCATGATGGTCAGTGGCCGCTTGATAGGTTGGTCTGTATACACGACGACTGCATGTGCCAAAAAGTAGGGCTTCAATTTTTTAACAGCCATGAAGAGTGCAAGACCAAATTTCTCCACTAAGGGATACCTCAACTCGGCATTTTTCAGTACATGACTGACAAAGTAGACCGGGAGCTGACAGCCGTCTCTTTCAGCAAGGAGAACAGCGCTTAACGCATGATCAGAGACGGCCAGGTACATGTAGAGTACTTCTTTGGGCAAAGGGCTGACCAGCCTCGGCAAGGAATGCAAGTGAACTTTCAATTTCTGGAAGGCCTCCTCAGCATCCGGCCCCCATTCAAACCTTGCCTTTTTCTTAATTGCCATGAAAAAGTATAGGCATTTGTCGCCTGATCGGCTTAGAAATATTCCCAAGGCCGCCAGACAACCTGTTAACTTCTGAACCTCTCGGATAGTACGAGGCGACTGCATGTCGATGACCGCCTGCACCTTCTTAGGGTTCGCCTCTATTCCTCTCTGATTGATAAGGAATCCGAGAAATTTCCCAGACTCAACTCCAAAGACACATTTCTTGGGATTGAGCATGACATGGTGCCGCCTGAGTGTGGCGAAAGTTTCTCGGAGGTCCGACAGATGATCTTTCTGAAGTTTAGACTTGACAATCATATCATCAATATATGCCTCGACATTTCTCCCAATCTGATCAAAGAACACATTGTTTATCATTCGCTGGAAAGTGGCCAGGGCATTCTTAAGACCAAACGGCATGACCGTGTAACAGTATAACCCCTGATCAGTGACGAAGGCCGTCTTCTCCTGATCTTTCTCCCATAAAGGAATTTGATGGAAACCAGAGTAGGCGTCCATAAAGCTCATCAAAGCATGGCCGGCTGTTGAGTCGACCAGGTTATCAATTTTAGGCAGAGGGTAACTGTCTTTGGGGCACGCCTTGTTTAAGTCTGTGTAGTCTACACACATTCGCCAGGTGCCATTCGGCTTTTTAACAAGCACCACATTTGCAACCCAGTCTGGGAAGTAACATTGCCGAATGAACCCTGCATCAAGTAATTTTTTAACTTCGGCGGCTGCCGCCTGACTTCTTTCTTTGCCATGGTTCCGCTTCTTCTGTCGTACCGGCTTCTTTTTCGGATCCACGGCCAGTTTATGTACCGCCAGATCAGGACTAATGCCTGGCACTTCATGGACTTCGAATGCAAAGATGTCCTTGTATTCTTTCAATAGTTTGTGAAAGTCGTCACCCAGGTCCCTTAGAGCAGTCGTCCCAACCTTGATTGTTCAGTCAAGACGCGAGTCATCTAACATCAGGTCCGTATGCTCACCAGCTGGCTGAGGGCGGAATTCATCCGACCGCTCCTCTGCCAATGATTGCTATTTTCTGTCTTTTCTTGCGGCCCCTGTCTGGGATGCCTTTCTCTTCTTGCCACCTGCTTCTTGAACAGGCGCACTCTCCTTGACATTGTCAAGGTCTATTTTTCCACCGCTCGACATAGTGGCCATAACAGTGGGCTTGACATCCGAGAGATAGCACTCTCGAGCCATCCTCTGATCTCCCCTTAGGGACCCGACTGTTCCATTATCCCTCTCAAACTTGAGCAACATAATAGATGGGATTATAACAGCCTTGGAATTATTCAGGGTTGGTCGTCCCAGAATCATGTTGTAGGCCGAGAGTTCTTCTACTACCAGGAACCGGACTACCATGTGTCGTCCTTCCCCTTTTTCACCCAGGCGGATGGGTAAATCCACTCGTCCCACTGGGTGGACGACTCCTCCTCCAAACCCTACTAAAGGGTGGGATGTCGGATGTATGCAATCAGTCTGATATTTTAGTTTCGACAGACATTTGCTACTGATGAGATCTGAGGAGCTTCCGGTATCTATGAGGATTCGGCCAACTCTCTGGTTGGCCACTTTACATTCAATAACGATAGGGTCGTCATGCGGCCCTCTTACCCCTCCTAGATCTTCTTCAGTGATGACAATCTCAGGAAATGAATATTTGGAGGGCCGTTCTTGGTGAACGGAATTTACATCTAACCGTCTGATATTGTCTTTGTTGCCCCTAATAGTGGGGCCGCTTCCTAAGAAGCCGCCTGCAATGGTGTAGACGACTGCATCATCTGTATCAGAGCTGTCGGCCTGTTGATTCTTTTTGGCCGACTGCTTTTTCGAGGAAGTGTTCCCCGTAGATTTCTTGACATAAGTGTCAAGATTACCTTGCTCAGCTAGGCGGTCCAGATACCGCATGAGACTGATGCATTCATTGGTGTGATGACCAACATCTTCATGATAATCACAGAATTTTTCTTGGTTCCGGTTGTTTGCAGAACTCTTCATGGGGACCAGCTTCTCAATTGAGATCCGTCCCTTGATTTCCTTTAGGATAAATTGGCTATCCTTGTTAAACGCATACTTTGGGGAGTATGGTTTGAATTCTTTTTTCTTTTTCTTGGCCGGCTGTTTAGAGGAATCAGCCGCCCAGACCTCTTTTTTCTTCTCGTCTTTGTTTGACGACTGTTTCTGTCGTCCTTCTCTTTTGTCGGACCTTCTCCCGTCTGACTGTTTTACCGTACTACAAAGATCAGTCGCCTGTATATAAGCTTCCGCTTCAATCAAGGCCTCTTGAAGAGTCGCCACCCTCTTTCGGACCAAATCAAATTTGAAGGTCGACCCGTCTTTGAGACCTCTGAAAAAGTCAGTATAGGCTACTTCATCCGGTAACCCTTGAATCTGTATTCTCATTAGGTTAAACCGCCTGATGTAAGAACAAAGCCCCTCCTTCTCGCCCTGCTGAATTGTTCCTAAATCAAGGGTCGTCTTCTTCGTAGGGATGTTCATGGCGAAGTTGGAGGTGAATAAGTAAGCAAGCGTCTTGAAGTTATTTACACAACCAGTAGGCAGGTTGCCGAACCATTGTTGTGCGATTCCTTTGAGAGTCACTGGGAAACACTTGCATCAAGTGGGATCATCCAACCCTTGAAGGTACATCAGGTTGGTGAATGCCATCAGATGGTCTTCTAGGTTAGTAGTGTCGTCATAGGCGCCTACTAATACATTTTTCACTTTGGCCGGCTGAGCGGCTTCAGTACTTTCCTTGGAGATGGCCGACGGCTGTTCACCAAGTCTAAGAAACCGTAGCTGCCAGTCCATAGGTTGGACATTTTTTGCTGCATGTCCACCAAACGGAGGTGGCTGTAAAAAATACTGTTGTTGCGGTACAAACGGTAAGTTTGGTACCGCCTGGTCGCTATGATAGCCGGACTGACGGGAGGTGTCGCCAAACTGACTCTCATGATACGACTGAGTATGCCTATTTCGCAGACTGTCTTGGAAGTTTGAAGTAGAGGCCGACTCTGACAATCGGTCACTCTTCTTCTGCTCTAGCAGTAGCCGAGCGTCTGTGTATGTTTTCCTCGACCCGTCCGCCTGAATATGACGAACAGGTTTCCTATTTCATGGAGTAGGAAAACGGTATTTTGTGAAATCAAGGGCAGGTGGCTCCCACTTCCTAGATTTAGGATGAGGGGTCGCCTCTCGCCCTTGAACTGGCTTCCTCTTCCGTGAAGTGGAGGGTTTCTTAGCCGACTGCTCCTTGTCCAGAGCAGGCGGCTTCTTGTTGATCAACTCTTGAATTTCTCCCTTGAAGTCCCTCATGAAGGTCATGAGTTCGTTCCTTGTGATGGGAGTAGACCCATCAGTCGGCTGCTGCCGAACAGGCGGTGCGCCTGCTGGCTCGCTTCCTGTATGAAGATGTTCCCGTTCCCTCCTTTCGGTATGACGGGTACGTCGGGCCCTTAGGGTCCCGTCTGAAGCTGTGTGAGCTTCAACTTCAAATTCATTCTCAGTATCGTGGTCCGACTGAACTAGAGGGTCGTCCAGGGGACGTCTCTCTTCAGGAGCCGGTACAAACGTGGATGCCATCTCAGAAGTACTCTCCCCACAGACGGCGCCAAGATGTTTCAGGGTTTTCTGATGTCCTGCGGGAGAGTTACAATTCCGAGACTGGAACCGGACGCCTGTTCCTGCAAAACAAACGGATGCTCCGGATAATTGGAGATCCGCCTCCGACGGTCAAGTTAGTACTTGATTAAGGAGTAATTAATGCGGAAATTAAAGTGATTGGGTCTCTCTAGGTGAGAGAGTTTAATGTGTGTAATCTGCGTAATCTCCATTAATGAGGATTAAGGGAGGTATTTATAACCTCGGGAAACGTGCCAATCTAGGTTTAGGTTAACCTTGGGCTGATTGGGCTTCCCACGGAAGTTGGGCCTAGGTGACCGGTTATCCCAGGTGTCATGGGAAGGACACGTGTCGTGTCGTAATTGGTCCATAGTGGACGGATCATTGCTTGACACGTGGCAGGCTCCTATTGGCCCATGTGACGGACACATGGCGGAACCTGATTGGTCCACTTGTCAGATGGTGATTGGTGGGGAAAAATCCCCTAATCACCTATTGGGTTTTGACATTCATAGATCTCACTCACAAACACATCTTATATATACACACTATATAACATGTAATTTGTTCAAAGATTGTTAGCTAACAACACGGTAGTAAATAACAAGGGTAAGTGATTGCTCTCTTCTTCCTTGTAGTATTGTACCTGAATCCGCAATACAGTAGTATGATTATAACCATGAGAATGAAGACACCAACGCCGCCAGCAATCAAGATCCACAAGCTATCATTATCTAGACGCGGGTTTGAACCAGAATTATACGGGTCATTTTCACACGCATCGAAATTGCCTATCGTCCTCTCTTGTATCCTTTCCAAGTCACCATTGTCAATCACCCGCAATACCCCCTTCGAAAACTCATTTGTTAGAGTAGATTCTTTACGGAAAGCCTGCATGACAAATTATTAGTTAATGTATGTAAGAAGATGAAAACATGACGAAGGCTATTTAGAGAAATGCTCCATGTACGTGGATTCAGTTATCACGTGTGATAAAATATAAAATCAAATCATGGAGTTTAACCATTACTTTAAAGTTTTGGTTGAATTGATTCTTTAACATGGTATCAGAGCGATAGAACCAATGTTTATAGTCCAATCTGTAATAGTGTAACACTATCACCATCATTATTAATTCTGGGTTATAGTTAATTTTCTATCAACTTTTATTTGCTGAAGAAATGAATTGATAAAAAACTTAATATTTAGATAAAAGTTGAAGATATGAATTGTTTCGAAAAATGAAGTATAAGGGAGTACCATATACATATAAAGCCAAATCCAGCAGAAGGGAGATTGACGGAGGGGACCATAGTTAAAGCGTTGCAACCCTTATCAAGGGGAAGTTTTAGATTAGGGGAATCAGCAACAATAGCATCAACACCGCCATTTTCGGTTCCTTTAGCTAACATATCCGTCATGTGTTTGTCCGAGTCAAGCCTTATTAGCTTTGACTCGAAAAAACCTTTTTCGATAAGAAGGTTATAGACGAATGAGCCTCTTCGATAACCTACATTTGACCCTTTCTTATCAACTGATTTAGGTTTTTGAAGCCGCCATTTTGGTTATGTGCTGTAAGGGATGATGTTTGGCTTGCAGAATAACACGCCATTAGGATTAACAATACCATGAAAAATAGTATCATCACTAACCTGTTATTGATCCCAACATGTCTCCTATACACCAAAATGTAACAAGCCAATGTAACATTATTATTTTCCGTTATAAAAAAATAAACAACGTTCTAGTTATTAGAAAGCTTAAATGTACTCCATACTGAAAAAAACAAAAAAAAAAAAAAAAGAGAAGAAGAAGAAGAAGAAACTTGTCATGTTCTTATTTACAAAGGGTAGGCACTCAAAGTTCCTTCAAAAAAAAAAAAGGGTAGGCACTCAAAACGTGACAAGTCCTTCCCACCACGAGAACTCTCAAACATTTTTCTAAACGTGCCCTTATATATAGCTTCAAATATCAAGTTTATTTATATATAGTCGGCATATAATTTCTTTTTTCATCGGATGAATTAAGGCTTTGCTTGTTTGGTTCTTAGCTAGTAGTTGATTGATATAGCTGGTTGTATAACTAACTAGTTTGACCAACTTGTTGTAAATAACTAGATGTGTGTAAAAATATTTAATAAATAGATATCAATTGTTAGTTGTTTCAATTTATGTAATACTTAATTAAAAAAGATAATATTTAATTAGTTAATTTCGAAAACTCCTATTATCAACTTTTTTTTAAAAAGAGCTTTTTAAGCCAAAGAGTTGTTAAATAAACTATTTTCCAAACTCCCCAATTAGTTTATTTAGAATGCATGGGTCAAACTTTTAATTGGCCTAAAAAAACTCTATAGTATTACCAAAACAATGCCTAACTAATGGAATATGATGAATTCGCTAGCTCACATTACTTAGAGCGAAGGAAGGAAATCGACACATTGATCATGTAGAACAAAGATGCCTAAATATATTAAGGAAAAAAATAATAGATACTTACTTCGCCAATTATCATCGTCAACTACATTTGTCGAGGGTTGTACTAATGAGCTTGCAGGTTTTTTTCAAGTGCGAAGTATGCTTGTCAGTTTTGTATTCCAAAATCCAAAAAATCGCCGCAACAACAAAGCTAAAACCAAGTGTAGCAGCCACAAAATAGTTAGTTGCCGATGCTGGAGAAATTCGGCCTCCCTTTTCGAACGGCCTCTGATTTTGTCGAATCAACATTGAGATTTGAGTGTCCATGTATGGCAATGTAAAATCAACCCATTCCGTCCTGTAATATAGGATCGATATCTCCCCTACCGCGCCCATCGTATTCCTGCTTGTTATGTGTTAGTATTGCAATGAAACCCTTCCACAATTTAGATATACAAAGGGCTAAAGTTTATACTAGTATCTAGTATGATTAAGGATTAATTAATTTTAACCTAGAGATAGAGGTAGAGAAAACCTGAGCAACACATTTTTTTTTTTCCGGGGATTTATTTCTACATCAGCAACACTACCTTAAATAAATTAGTTGACATGCTTCTTCTTCATCATAGCTTACATAAAAATTGATTCCATTCCTTTATAATATGTCAAAAACTAACGAACGCTTCATGGACGTTTGATAAATGTAAAAGTAGAAATATTAGATTGAAATAAATAAACATTAATTACATTGATTGACTCGTAATTTTGGCAACCATTTCCAAATTAATGTTATACTTCCTTCATTCTAGTAATATTACAACAAGAATAAAATTACGCATCTCAAAACACATTTTATATGTTAAATATCTATAATTATATAAAAGTAAAAATTATATAAAGTTAATATTATTAAAATTATTACGAGACGAATCTAACAAGAACTCACATGAGTATTGTTTCGGGGTTTTCTGATGTCCTGCGGGAGAGTTACAATTCCGAGACTGGAACCGGACGCCTGTACCTGCAAAACAAACGGATGCTCCGGATGATTGGAGATCCGCCTCCGACGGTCAAGTTAGTACTTGTTTAAGGAGTAATTAATGCGGAAATTAAAGTGATTGGGTCTCTCTAGGTGAGAGTGTTTAATGTGTGTAATCTGCGTTTTTAGCGTGTTTTTCTCTTAATGAGGATTAAGGGAGGTATTTATATCCTTGGGAAACGTGCCAATCCTAGGTTTAGGTTAACCTAGGGCTGATTGGGCTTCCCTCGGAAGTTGGGCCTGGGTGGCCGGTTTCTCCATTAGGCATGGAGTATGCCACGTGTCATGACATAATAGGTCCAAGGTGGACGAATAAGCGTGTGCCACTTGGCAAGCCCTGACAGTGCCAACTGGGGGACACTTGGCAGGACCTGATTGGCCCACGTGGCGCATTCCGATTGGTGGGAGCAAAATCCCCTAATCATTTGCCCCTCACAGGTGGCACGTGACTGGTCACGTGTTACCTGTGACAGGTGTCGCACTGTAACAGGCGACGACCTGCTACAGGTGTCACTCGGCGAAAGGCCGAGAGATTCTCCCGCCCAAATTATGAATTCTGGAAGTGACCCTTCGCCTTCTCACTTCGCCTATATAAGGGAGTGTTGACTTCAGTCATTTTCACACGAGAACTTTTTGAGAGAACATTCGGACCCCTGAACTTGCTCTGACATTTTGGACCCTTTCTGCCTACCGCCTGCTCTGACAAGCCGACTGCACAGGATTTTCAGAACTCCATCAACGTCACTCGTTCAGGTAACCGTCGGTTCTCTTACTCTTAATTTTCTCTTTATTTTATTCTTTTTTGAAATGGCACCACGGAAGCACACGACACGACCTAGGTTAGTGATCAGCCGGTCACCGGGGACGGCTGAATCTAGGACTAGGAGTGCCGCCTGCCCTTTTCCGGACCCATCTTTGCCCTTTATACAAAGTCCGACTGTATCTGTGTCTATGCAGAGCATGATGGCCAGAACAAAAAAGACTGCCAGGATTTCAAACTCAGACGGCTCCTCCCACAGGGTGCCGATTAGTGAAACATCTGACCAGGCGCCAGATGTGGAAGTGAAACAAAGCGGCTTGAAAACCGGCAGTTCTGAGGGAGGAGTCAAAGTGACCCCTTCCCATTTTACAATTGACAATTCTACATTCTCTCCTGCTCCTTTTAAAGGAGAGGAGGCGGGCCCCTCCGGGAGAGGGGAAGAGTCATCCTCTTCGGACTCGTCAGAGGACGATTCCGAGTCTAGCTCTTCTGGCCATGCTTCCCTGGACACAGAAGAGAAAAACAGTCGCCTACAAGAGGCGAGGCTTTCTCACGCAGTTGAGAAGGGGGACGATTGGGCGGAGCCATCCGCCTCTCACCGAGAGCAAAATACCCCCTACTACTGCACGGTACCCCGGGGCCGGATCACGGCCATGCAAGAGAAAGTGGAGAGCTTTATCGCAAACCACAATGGGGCTTTTTAGTTTTCGTGTCGGATCCAGAAGACACAGTCGTATGGCCGGCTGGTACCAGTTAAGATGGCGCCTGCTTTGGCTGCTACGAGGCGGCCATCAAGGCTGGGCTGCGCTTCCCACTACATCCAGCTGTTCAGCGGATCTTGGATGGGTATGAGTTGGGGTAATGGCAGTTAGCCCCGAACTCCTGGGTCAACGTACTCGGCTATGTGGCCGGGTGCGAACTGCACGGGGTGGAGCCGAGCTTCGAGGCTTTCGCCCACATGAACTACCTCAGCCGGATCCCTAAGGCAGGCGGTACCGGCTGGTATCAATTGACGAGCCACAGGGGCTACCTCATGACGAGAGGTAAAGCAAACAAATGGAAGGACTGGCGGAGCACCTTCCTCATCATTGAGAGTTCAGACACAGAGCTGAACAAGCGCTTCAACAGGTGGAACAGGAATCCGCCCCTTCTTGCAGGCGGCCGCAGCATGCCGCCTGTTCCCCCCAAGGCTAAGAAAGAGATCCTAGATAAAGGACTCTTCAAAGTAGAGTCGAAGGTGAACTCTACTTTAGGGGTACGAGAGCAAGTACCCCTGCACTGCGTCCCGAGCTTCAAATGGCTCTACGACGAGTACTTTTTGGCCGCCTGTGGCCTCAGCAGTCGGTGCTCAAGAGGTAGCCGGCCTGTCGAATACTCTGCTGTTCCGTGTATTTCTTGTTATGACTTATTAACTTTGCTATTTGTTTTTGCAGCGGACGCCATGAGCAAAATTACCGCCTCCAAGACTGCGGCGGCCATGTTGCGGGCCTCCATCATGCAACAGTCTTCAACCGACTCCCCCAACAAGGGGGCACCCTTGGTGGGCTTCGAACCTTTCACCCTCTTTTTGGAGTTGTGTTTATGCATATAATGACTCTTTTCTTCTTTTTTAGACGGGCGCTCCAAGAGCTTCTTCTTCCCAACAGCCGGACCCCAAGGCCCGGAGGACGACTGTTGCGAGCTCTCCTGGTTCTGCCAGGAAACATGCGGCGGCTGAGAAACAGCTGACCACTTCTTCTAAAACTCCAGCTGGGCCACCTAGAAGTATGAAATTGTTCTTGTAAATTTTAGACTTGCTCCCTTCTTTACTAGGTCTAATCCGTTTGTTTATGCTTGATGCAGCCGGCCCTCAGGAGCCTGACTTGGTCGAGGTGGCCAAGTCTATGATCAAGGCCGTTCCTCCAGCTGAAAGGGAGGCGGTCAGGGGTGTCGGCACCCTTGACCTAGATGGGATTGCAGGGGTCCTTGCTAAGGTATACTTAGCATATTTTTGAGTATTTGATTTCCAGGACGCCTGTTTTCTTTTTGTTTGGAAATTGACGCCTGTTCCCCTTTTTACTTAGGCCCTGCTCCGAGTGAACGGCCTTCGCAAGCCGCTTGACCGGAAGAACAAAGAGGTAAAGGCTGCAAAAGCTATGGCCGCCTCTGACTGTGATAAGGCAATGTTTCAAATTGCCCAAAATGAAGTTCTGACCATTGATATTCTTTATTATCAGGTGCAGGCTACCGCCGCTATCCGGGCTCAGTTAGAGGCGGCCCAGAAGAGGAATAACGAGCTGGAGGCGACCATCAACAACCTCAAGGCCGAGTTGAGACCACTTCGCCAAAAGATGTCCTCATACGAAACCTTGGAGAAATCCTTGGCGAGCGTAAAGGTACGCCTGGTGACCCAGAAGAAGAGTCTTACCCAGGAGCTCTCGGAAAAGGACGAGCAAGAAAAGAAAGTGCTGGTCCGGGAGATGATGGAAGACTATGCTCAAATCCAGCGCATGACTTGGGGCCGCCTCTTCCCCAATGCCGACTTTGCCTCATGGGAAAAAACGTACCGCCAGTGTTCTGATAGATATAATCAAGAGATCCTGGCGGCTGCTGAGGAAGAGGCGTTGGAGGAGGCGTTGGAGGAGGAGGAGCAGCCGGTAGTGGCGCTTGTGCCGCTTGGGGGTAATGCATCAAAGAAGGATGCAGTTGAAGCCGAGTCCAGCAAGAAGAATGCTGACCAGGCCGCAGCTGCTGATATTGAAGATCTGCCCCCTTCTTAAGCTTTATGTCTTCTTCCCACGGCCTGCGTGCCGTTTGTTTGTATTTACCCGGCCAGGGGGCCGGGGCTCTGAATATTTTGCCGGTCTTTAATGACCGGCTTCTTTTTAATGAATTTTTTTTTTGTTTTGCTTCAAATTTGTTTAAGTATTGAATATTCTGATATCCAGTTGTACACTATACTGACTGTTTTACATGGCCGATAGTTGCAGACAGGTACGGATAGTTAGTCACGCCGCCTATGCCCCTGGACGACTGGTTGTCTGTTTCCAGGCTAGTCGATCAGTCGGCCATTTATCCAATCGGTATTCGAACCATTTTAAAGACTGGATCCCCGTTAGGCAGGCGCTTCTGTCATATAAAATTAATCAAGTAGGAAAGTGGTTTCCTACTTGTCATGTTTTTAGGCTAGAGACTTTAGGCCGTCTAGGCCGAGTGTTCCCCGCCATATTTAATCTAGTGTGAACAGGTGCTGTATGAACACCTTTTTAGTTTCATACTAAAATTTTTAAGGAGTGACCAAGTAAACATGATTGTTACCTAGTCGCCAAGTAATTGAGTAGTAGAGGTATCAAGCGATGGATACCGGTTGTTCCCCTTTATTCGCCAATGTTTGTTGGCTTTTAACTCATAAGTTGTTAACCTAGCAGGAGTAGTGGTTGAGAGCCCCTGTTTGCTAAAAACAGGCGGACGACTCATACCTTTTAGGCTCCATACTAAGTTTGAGAGAGTGACTATGAGTTAACTTTGGAGTTACTCAGTCGCCGTCACTCCTGCTTGAGTAGTAAAGGTACCAGGCGGCGGAGGCCGGCTGAACCTTTTGATTCGCCAATGTTTGTTGGCT